CAGAGCCTTTTTTTGAAATTTTGATTAGAATTTTAATTAATTAAAAAGTAAACGAATTTTTGGCGTTTTTCCTTTATAACTTCCGAACATACTACAAAAAAATTATTTGTACACCAACTGAAAGTGCAAAAAATTACATTTCCAATGATATCAATTAAGTTGCTGTACAATGTTTTCTCGAAGTTTAATAAATTAAAAAATATTTTTTTGCATAATTTATAATACTTTTCATTGTTGCAACGCAACTCAAACCGTTTTCATTGCTAAACAAATATTCAATTGTATATTTCTTTTTGATTGTTGTAATCTGAGATAGTATCCTAATACATTTTGCGTTCATATTTTATTTCATCAAAATTTTTGTCAAATCTGTAAACCAAGCTCTCCGAGATACTGCTTTGCTTACATTACGATCCAGTAAACTGATTGGTTATGGTTGCTATGTTTTCAATCTTTTCTCAGCATTTTTTAATCCAGCTAACATGTCCTGGCCATAAAATCTGCTGAGTCATTTTAATGTTGCCGACAACATGGAATTAGAGGTTATATGAATGGTCAGTTATTTGACTCCTTTAAAAATATTTATGTAGACAATGAAGATAAGAGGTTCAAGGTCACTAATAGAACGTGGGTTAAATATCTACCACAATATGAAGTTTAAAAATACATTGTTAAGAGAACCATGAACATAAAATGATGCAAGATCCAATTGAAATCATATTCCCGGCGAACAAGATGGTCGCCGAAGGCGGCTAGTAAATAAATAAATAAACAACCAGTGCTTACTTAATGGCAAAAATTTTAGCTCCCTCTTTTTCTTTTTTATGTAGTTTTCACAAAGCGCTTTATTTGTACTATACAATAGTGAGTGTTTCTTTAGTTTGGAGCCCTAGAACCAACTCTAGGGCCTTCTGAATAGAAATTAATTTGAACAACCCTGCATATAATAAGAAAATTAATGCAAGAAAACTCCTACTAATTTTTAACATTTCAGGATTTCTGAACTCTGCACTAGGGGCATCACCTATGCATGATAGAAAAGATCTCCGAGCTCACGAATGCACATGTAGATAGAAAATGCAAAATAGGAGATTCAAGTATTGATTAATGATAAACAAATGAGGGTTAGAAAAATATATTTATTTGTAAAATTTTCATCATGTGCTTCAAATAGATAGAGATGGGTATTTGATTTATTTTTGCTTACTACGTGGGCATTACAGAAGTTTTCACTCCTACTAAATATAACAAATATCCATATTCGCAGCATTCTGAAATGTGATAAATGTAGACGATGTCAATAATTTTGCGATGCCGAAAGCCATTCGAGGCCGCTGTGGCCTAGTGGTAAGGTCTCGACGTTTGGGAGGAGGGTTGCAGGTTCGAAACACAGTTCCACTAAAGATCCGTCGTGTATTGGGCCTGTTGCACGTTAAATCATACGTAAGGGGCCAAATGTCGGTGGCGTTGACGTTTGGAGAGGGACGTGCCAGCTCAGGTGTCGTCCTCGTCATCTGATTGCGGTTCAAAATGACGATCGTACAATATTGGGAACTACGTTGTCCAATATTGGGAAACAATGTTGTATAATATCGGGAAACTACGTTGTACAATATTGGGAACTACGTTGCTCAATATTGTAACCCAATATTGAGCAATATGGGAAAAGTCTTACATTTTACTTTGTCACAATATTGTAAATCAATATTGTACAATATTGATTTTTCCAATTTTACAATATTGAACAATATAGTGTGTTACTTGGGAGTCCGTCTCAAAATAGCTCTCGTCTTGCTTCAGAACGGGACATTAATATAACTAAACTAAACTATCTGCGATCATATTTGTAAGTCCTGTTGTATATGGTGTAGCGACAGGAGGTCAAGGATGTGTATATTGTCCAGTGCCAAGGGGCGCCATCAAGAAAAAAAAACGTTAGTTAAAAAAAACGTAAACTAAACCTGTGTCTTTCGAATGATATAAAATGAAAATCTTCTATACAACACATGTCTGTCAGCCTCTCCCATCAGATCCCGGCTTTCCAAGGAGGGAAATGGAGGTGTGGGATCGAACCCGGCCTTTCACATGCAAAGGGAACGCTCTACCACTGAGATACACCCCTGACATGCGGAAAGACTCCAGCAACAAAGTTAGCACATGTAACTGAAACGAAGTACACAG